CGAAAGCGAATGTCCTACTGCTGATCACGTGGGATCCCCAAGAGTGATGTGAACCTTTTTTTGAAGAAAAAAAATGTAAAAAGCGATAAGAACGAAACAATATGATATATTGTACTCAGTTTTTTATAGGCTTTGCTACTTTAAATGATTTTAACGTCTTACAGAGATGAGGCAGGTTTTTTTTCTGACAGTGACTTAGATAATGTGCGATATCTTCGCAAAATAAGTAACACTATATGCTCCCAATCCAAATAAAAAACAACCATCGGTAAAGTCGCCTAGAGGAAAGCATTCAAAGAGTCAACAGGTACGCAATTGTTGACGTGTTATGAATGTAAACAAATGCGATTAACCCAAAATTTGGAATGATTATCGGAAGTTATAAAAAAAAAGATCAGCTTAGAAGTATGTATAAACCATTTAGACAACGTTCTTCCTTCTCTACGCAACGCAATGCTTTAACAAAAACGAAACAAGTATGAGTTCTTCCGAGAAGCTGTTTGAGGGTACATATTTTTATCTTTTCCTCCTCTATAAGCAACTGAAATAAGCATTTAATAATATTGGCAGATATGGAGGAAAAGAGGATGGCTAAATGCATTTAGGACTATATTTTTCTCGTAAGTAATAAATTTGCAGCAGGTAACTTGTGACACTGACTTGTAGGAAGTGTAGTGAGCACGCCACCCTCGGGGTGACCAAAGAATTGATAAATCATATCAACGCAAAAGGTTATCGACTATTAGTCGTAAGAACAAAGGGAAATTAGAGTGACCGATTGATACACGGCCTCGGCATTGGGAACAGGTTCGGATTCAGTAGGCTATTCGGCGAAAAGTATGCATGTAAAACATTTATTTTGACAAATAAGCCAAATAAAAAATTAGCACTAGATGTGTGGCGTGACCTCGAAGTGACCTGAATTCATATTCGAATTTTCCATGGTGATTATCCGAAATAAAGCAAATTCGCTCGCTGTAAGTTATCCTACCTCTTGCCATAATTATCAACTAGAGTTTTTGAGATCGTCATATCAGAATTCTGCAGCCATGTTTAGGTGCATCCATTGAGGAACAATCAGAGAACCTAATGCAAGTCAGACGTTCAAATTTTTCAGTGTGTTAAAGTCATTTCCTTTATAAATGCTACTTTTTCTAGCAGTTCTTGAGCAACTTACTACTTCTTA